ACGAGAGTGCCGCAACGCACGGGCAATTCCAACTGTAATTTGATTTGTCGCGGCGGTAAGTGAGTACGAGGGAGGCGAAAACTGGGAGGAAAAACAGAATGAGTGATACAGCCGTGCGGCGAGATCAGATTATCGCAGCACTCTTGGTGCGCACTTGGGCGCACTGCAAACCGGGGGGTTGCTCTTGCTCGTTGCTCGGCTTCTTTATTTTTTCTGGGCGGTGTAATAAAGTACGGGTGAGCGAGAAGGGCCCGCGAGCCCCTAATCTGATATCCCGACGGAAAGGGAGCGAATATTAATGTTCGTTTGCCGCGAGCAAAGCCGATGCCGCCTCGCGAGCGCTTTTATATGGCCACCACGGGCTCCACATAATGCCCCGGCACCCTATAAAGCTAATGAGTCACGCCGAGTTCACGGAGGCCGTAGGTCCCGGCGAACAGGTGCCGCTGCAACTACCGGGGATACTCGCGCGCGAGCAAACGTTCATCACGTACGTTAATCTCAACCTTTTGTACCCACTGTTTGCATTGCAAAACGCTCGTGCGATCTCTATCAGGCCCCCGCTAAATTTATTCTCACGTGCAGAGAGTGCAAATCGCGTAACGCTTATCGCGGGAATACATCATACGAGTGTGACGCGAACAGAAATTTTACTTTAACGTGTGATATATCGGTTGATAACTGATATCGCGTACGCGCGGCGGCAGCCCCGCTTCGCCCTGAATCGGAGAATAATGGAATTCATAAAAGACCGCGGCGCAAACTATATCTTACGTAAAGCTTATCGAAGGCTACGACGCGCGATAAGGAGTTTGAGTTCTTGACCGAGATACTGTTCGTCTACCGACATTTCGCCGACCGTTGTCGCTCGCGTATAAATTAGTGCGTTGCTTATTAGAGCTTATCGGCTGTATAGTCTTATGTAAGCCGGCGCAAATGTCGCAGAAGGACGACCGCCTTGTGAATTTATGGAATTTATCGTGACGTAGGCTCAACGAAGGAGAGAAGAATAAACTTGTCTCGACTCGAGATGAGCGAGATGTTGTAGAAGTTTTATATATTTTTTTTATTCGAACAATTGAGACGATTAAAATCTAAAAAGAAAAGATCCACAAAGAGCATCCTCGAAATACGCAATTAAGTTTTTTGTATATAACCATTCATTTTCTAGCCGCGTAACTTTTTTCGTTATCGCGCAGCTCATTGTCAGCATGCGAGTATCGTTGGTCCAGCGAAAAAACCTGTAGCATCTACCGATAGATGGAAGCACAATGTCTGAAGAATCTGGTTGCTTTACATCTTTAAATCCGTACTAAATTTAAACGGAAGAAATGCATTATTTACTTGCTTATTTTAATATCATCTTTATATTGTCATATATTTTTCGTGAAACATAAAATTAGCTTAGAAAAATACTCGCTGATCGCTAAATTTGCGCAATTATAAATTCCAATCTTAAAATGTGCAGCCCTAATCTAAGATTTATACGAAACATCAAGTTGTTTAATCTAAATTATCTCATCCAATTGAAATTCATTATTGTGGACATAATTCCTGTCTTTGTGCTTTCAAGTTTATTCATAAATATTAAATTAGCTCCTTTAATATTTTCAGGCCGTATCTAAAAAAATATTTGAGCACATTTTTTAAATACGTCTAAATAAAATTAGCCAAATAAAAAAAAAACAACGGTCACGATTATTATTCTCAAACTGCAGAAGACATAATGATTTCGCATAATATTCCGAGAGAAGAAAAAGGAAGGCGAGTTACACGGCGGTAGTGCATATAAATTCCTCGATCTCTCATTGCCCATCCTCTTCCTCATAATCATCACCGCCATCCCCCACGCGCGTCCCTCGGAAACACGTTCTAGCTCGGGATCCACGCGCCCGCACTGCTCGGGCGCTCCAAGTCGAATGACGATCGCACCCCCACCACTTGCGAAAGCGACGCGCGCGGCACGTTCGTCTTCGGCCAATTCCCAGCGGTGGGGGCCAGGCCGGCCCAATCAGCGCAGTTTTGTCGTACGCCGCGTCGAATCCCGGTTACGTGATTGGCGACGTACCTCACCTTCTTTCTCCGTGTAGGTGAAGTCGCGCGCGCGTTATCTCCACTGGTGCTATCCTCGTCCGTTTCCCGACCCCTGCTGTCCCTGTTTCCGTCGTTCCGTATCGAGCCGGCGGCCTCCCTCTTTCTTCTCTTTGTCGGTTCCCTCGTGTGCTGCCGCCGTTCTGCACTCGCGCGCGCGCGGGCGCGGGCGCGCGCACGCACGCGAGGACACGAGCCTGATTCCTCTCGAGGCGAACCTCGTCGCACCTACCGCGCTTCTACGAACCTTTGAATTTACGTTACTCTTTTCGCTGCTAACGGGATGCTGCAATCGTGGATCGGGTCACGCGGATATCATGAGAGCAATCTTTATCTTTGCAATATAATTTATATGCGTATTTTTTTTAAATCGTAAGCTACACATCTCGGCAAATAATTTTCAAGCGTTTCAACGTAGTGTGATTGAGGATTTCTTTTTCTATGCTCCGAAATTTGCGCAAGCTCTGATTAGTAAAATTGATAAATGCGCTAAATTGTAAACATCGGTATATTTTTTACCTTGGGCGGCGCAAATAATATCCGAGAAAAGGCAAGGACATGAAATGCGTTGAACGTACAATTGTTTGTAATATGTTACTTGGCGGAACGCGATGGTGTTTGCCGCATTAGTCTACAAGAGCGGCGCTTATCAGGCAGACATCGCAGCACGTATTATTACGTTTGCGCAAAGTCTAGTTATATCCGGTTTAATCATCCACCATATAATCGTAAGGTAAACACAAAGCGTTATTCGCGCAACTGTACATGCCTGCTGCGGGAACGCAGAATTCCCATGGATTGTCCAATCGGTCTTTATCTGATAAAGTAGCCAACGGTAAATTACGGGCAACCTTTCGCGGGACTTAACATCCAGTTGCGATTGAAAGCAACAGTAGAGGCAGTGAATCGACGTCGTTGGGGTCGAAATCGCGTCCCAACCGTCAGTCTTCGAAAATAATTAAGTTCTGGAACTTTACCTTTTGTATCAAATTTTGTATTAAATAAGTTAACTTGGCAGTTCTCCCCAACAAGATGTTAAAAGTGTTCAGAACGTTGAACGTGGAGGAAATCCCCTATTATGAGATAGGCTCCTAATGCGAGGAAGCGGAACTTCCGCTAAATTAATAGGCATCATCCGTTGGTTCCACCATGAATTTATCGCCCTTGGAGTGAAATCTGTTTAGCGGAAAATTGATTGTTAGGTCGTGTAATCGTTGCGAAAGAAGATTTGTCATCGTATTTGAACGTTGACAACCTGCTATCTCACATTAGAATCCTGTCTCATAATAGAGGACTTCCCTCTAGTAATTTAATACAAAGAATAAAGTTCTGAGCTTAAGGGGATGCTGGAGTGATTCTACACTTTTGCACCTTTCTCGCCTAGAAACTATCAGTTCGCGGAAACACTTGTGTAATATACAAATTAAATGACTTACGTGTACAGATCGAAAGCAGCTTGCTATTCCGGCTGAATGAAAGAACAATATGGTATCACTGAAATTAAGTTTGTCTAATAAGTCTAATAAGAAATGATTGTGAGCAACACACATGCAGTACATGTAGTATGTGTTCTGCCCACTATTATTTTTTATTAGACTTACAAACTTAGTTTCAGTGATGCCATATTGTTCTTTAATCCAGCCGGAATAGCAAGCCGCTTTCGATCTGTACACGTAGGTCATTTAATTTGTACATTACACAAACGTTTCCACGAAACAGCCAGTTTTAAGTGCAAAAGGTACAGAATCGTTCCGGCATCCCCTTAATTACTTCCGAAAGCTGACGGCCGGGGGACGCGGTTTCGACCCCGTCGACGTCGATTCGACGTTAGTGCTCTCGTTGGGACGAGGAGTGCCGAAAGACCGGGACATCGCGATCCGTCACAATATTTGCACGCAACCGTCCGCGCGCCGTCCGAACAGTCAACAAAGTTAAGATCCGGCACGAGATCGATGCGGTCGTATTTCAGGCCGCGCGTACACGCGTGCGACGGCCGAGATAAATACGGAGCCGCGCGTTTAATCGGTCGCGCCAAGTAGAAAGAGCAATTTCGAAAGGCGGTACATCGGGAGGGAGTACGAGGCACGTGCCGGAGCTACGCGCGTGCGTCAGCCTGTCGTACTCCGCGCACGGTGGCACTCGGCTATTTTTGAGGAACGTGATATAAGCTCCGATGACGTTCGCGTGCGACCGGTCGCGCACTTGCGTCCGCGATGGAATTACCGTCGCCGAGTACGCGGTCGGCGTATGCTAACGCGCCCAGCCGGTTCTAATGACCTTTCGCAGACGCGGGGCTAATCGCCAATCCGTGGAAATGTTCCGTCCCATTGTTTCTCGGTCTGTGGGTGCAGCGGGGAGTTATCTCTCGCGCGAAACCTGCGCGCGAACGACGTCGTCACCGCGAACGAGTATACGGAGTCGGACTTGAACGTCGCGTTTGAAGGATCTCAAATTCATAGATTCGTTTCGACGCGTAATCGGCATCGGTAATGACGAGGGGACGCCGACTGATCTCGTTCGCAAGGTGGCTAAATGAGTGTTTAAGCGGGAAAACCGAAGATTGCGTAAAACCGAGACACGACCTCGCGAAAGAGATCAGTCGACGTGAGGTTTACACCGGATTGTTAGCTAACATGTTTTTTACTTGAATGACTGACGATAAATAACAATTGTTACAGCGAGTAAGCAACAATTGATTAAGTCTCCGAAGTTACCGCGGAGCGATCGAAAATTCCATCGGAAATCACCGACGTCAATCTCGCCGGCAAAGTCCGATCGATCGGCTCCAAGGGGGATTGGGGAGTCCCCAAGGGGGGGTCCCAGCCGCACGCCATAGAGAGCCAAAGTCCAGAGTGGGGGTCTTAAAGGCATCGGGTGCCGTCCGACTGTCGGAATTCAATGGTAGGGGTAGTCAGGTTAAAGCGTCACGCGCTGGAACCCCCCACTCGCGCGTTCGCCACTGAATGTCCTCCCCTCCACTGAGAGCACCGCCACCAGGCATTCCACCCGGGTGCCACGCTCCGACGGCACGATAGAAGACGTTCGCCGTTCATCGAGTTAGTCGAGCTCTGACACCAGTCGCGAGCGGTCGCACTTCTGTCGAGCGACTTCAGCGCAGAGAGAGAAGAGAGAGAAGAGAAAGAGAGAAAGAGAGAAAGAGAGAGAGAGAAGGGAGAAGAGAGAGAGAAGCGAGAGAGGGAGACGAGCCAGGGGGTGCCATACTCTGTCATCGCGGTCCTTCCGTCGGCTCATCCCCGGTGCACGCTCGTACCGCGGTTCCCTCAACTACCCCGTCGGCTGCAACGATCGACGAAGGGGACTATTGGATTATCAGTGAAGTGATCGACTGCGTTTCCCACAGTGCTTCCCACTGTGGCTCGAGGTTCCCCGGCCTGGGAGTTCTCAGAGTTCTGTGATACGGAAAGTAAAGATCATGGTGACCGGAGTGGGTGCCACGATGCCGACAGGCGGTGTCACCGTCGGCGCTACTCCGCCCGCGCAACACGTGCCCCAGGAGGCTGGCCAGCCTCCTGCGCAAACCACCCCGACGGCCACGACGACCACGAGGAGATCCGGGGAAAATCGACGGGTTAGTGTTCGGAGATCGAAGAGATTCTCCGTTGCACTTGAACAGCGCGTTACACTTTCCGCGTTCGGAGTATTGACCCGGAGCAGCAAATTGATTTCTATCGTAGAGAGAGAGAGAGAGAGAGAGAGAGAGAGAGAAACGGCGACTATTAACGCACCGCAAAATTAACGCTTCGATACGACGATATTAATTTCTCTTCGGAATTGAGATGCTATACAGACGCTATTGGCGTATTTAGAATTTCAAGTACAACTCGCGCGAAACGACGGAGTAGAATTTAAAGAGAGTGTTTCGTGCTCCGGATTCATTCAAGCGTCGAATTCCAGAATAAACGGTAGTTTTCCTTGCACACCAGTGTGCAGTGACATGTCGAAAGCTTCGAATTCGTTACGCGACCTAATCTTTAATTATTTCTTTCATCAGTCGTCGATTTACAATGATTTATGCAAATTATTTATTAATTTACATGTCATTTGCAACTCGTTCCAACGTTCTGACGTGACGGAAAAGAAATGTAATAAACGTGACTTTAAAGTGACAAATATAAAAATAATTGAAAACGATCTTCTGTTGAAGCGAAAATGAAAAGGTAAAATAAAAACGGATGCCTTTACCAGTCTTCGTTACGTTCTTAGCAGTAGTTTTCGCGTACAAGTTTTCATAAAGACGGTCTTTCTTTTCTAAAGTTTTTCGGCGCGACACTTTACCGTTCTCTCGCTATTCATCACGCTTTTCGTATCTTATTTACTCAATCGATTGAGATTTCACTTGTATTTATTCCTACCGGTAATTTCTGTTCACAGAGCAATAAACCCATCATGGAGAAAAGACGTCGAGCCCGTATTAACAACAGTTTGAACGACTTGAAAACTCTCGTTTTGGAATCTATGAAGAAAGACGTAAGTATCCTAATATTCTTGCTGTAGCATATATTCGGCGAGACCAAGGCGGCATAAAATTTGTAAAAAAATTCTACGTTCTTTAAATTGTTAAAGAGGTAGAAAAATAATTTCTCAAAACCCAACTTACATTATGTCGACATTCTTTCTCTCCACTTTCAATTTTATATACCGTTTCATTGATTTACTAATCGTCCTTTTTGCTTCTGCTTCTTCCGTTACAGCCGGCAAGACACTCGAAGCTCGAGAAGGCTGATATTTTGGAGCTGACCGTGAAGCACTTGGAGACTCTACAACGACAGCAAGTCGCTATGGCTGCCGCGGCAGATCCGACCGTCCTCAACAAATTCCGCGCCGGTTACACGGAGTGCGCCAGCGAAGTTGGCAAGTTTCCCGGTCTGGACGCCTCGGTGAAGAGACGTCTGATGTCCCATTTGGCCACGTGCCTGGGTCCGGTCGATGCTAGCAATGCCAACGGCCAAACGACGACGGCGACTCAACAGCCTGTCCAGCCGGCGCCGCCGACGACGCAGTTGCAAGTGCACATTGTGCCGCAGCTCGAGCCACGCATCCAAGTCCAGCAATCGAATGGCATTTTCTTTACCAACGCCAACGGTACCGCTCTGCATCTGTTGCCGACCAGACTGCCGAACGGTGACATCGCCCTGGTGCTTCCGGCGGGCGTGAAGGCGCCAGTTACGTCCTCGCCGTCGTCGTCTCCGGAGCCCAGCTCGCCGTTACCGACTCTGATCCCGATTCCTCAGAGAACCGCGAGCACCGCGTCCGCATCGTCGACGAGTTCGTCCAACAGCTCGACGTCCACGTCGGCGGGCAGCCCGGTGGCCTTCGAGGCGCCCCCGACGTCGTACCGCGAGCAGGCCACTGCTTACAGCCCGGCCAACAACCACCGGGACGTCGCCACGTCTCCGGCGAACAGCTATACCAGTGATTCGGAGTTCGATCAGCACGTCTACAACCCGCCCCATCAGAAACCCCTCTCGCTGGTGATGAGGAAGAGCGTGTTGCCGCCGCTCGACGAGAAACCGTGGAGGCCGTGGTAAAGGGAGAAGGAACGAAAATACGGACGCGACATGTGCGCGATTCAAGTGATATAAACTGACGTGTGTCGGCGGTTAATCCGCGGCCGAAAAACGCGCCAATTCGACGTGCCGATTTGTGTGTCGCGTAAAAAGTTGCGCGGAACGGAAACATGTTCCTCAGTTACGTAGGTCACTGTAGACGAGCGGTCCCGTCCGTGCGGGGACATCACCGTGAAATTAGAGGATCGTTGAGAGAAACGCCAGTTCTTTATTCTTCCGAGTGCGCGTGCACGATCGGCCAGTAGCCAATGAGGCAGTGCCTTCTCAAACAGTGCCTTGTAAACGTATCGTCAAATTTCAGTATGGCAGAAACGAGCGCGGATGATTATTCAAAAATATCGCGCCGGTCCCTCTTTTCTTATCCCACGTCGCTCTATCCCTCCCCCCCCCCCTGTCGTCCCCTCTCGTCGATCCTCTCCCTCTGTACATAAGTTATATGAATACTATATTTTAAGTGCCTTATGCAACAAGAATCACCGAGGTCTTCCATTCTGTTTCTTGTATGTAAAACGCTAAACGATCTGTAGTATATCGTTGTAAGTACGAAGAATGTTTTTAACTGATTACGATTTTAGGCTTAGGATTACGTTAAGGAGTCCGCGAGTAACAGCGTGTGCGAAAAACTGTATATATGAATGATAATCGAAAGAGAACACGTTATTTATATTTATACGAATGCAAAAGAGGTTACATTTATAATTCCTCTCTATTACGAGAATAGACAACCAACGCTTATCATTGCAAGAGCATCAAATAAATGTTGATCTCTTTCTCAACACAATTTCTATGTTTTATGTTTATGAACCAGTCACATTTCCTCGATCCATTTCCTACCGTCATTGTAGTTGTACAAGCGCATTTTATAAGCTTGCTCTCGATCTGTTTCTTATTCACTTTTTGCGCCAAGCAGATAATCGTGAAAGAAAGGTCTCTCTCTCTTCTAAACGGCTTAAAAAACATATGCAATAGACGAAAATTCACTTACAAGTCTTAAATGAATAATTGCAGGCGGCGGGACCTCGAAACGAAATACTTCCGCGACAGAGGCGTCCGCGCTCTGCCGGCTGCCGCGTACGTCCGACACGCTGCACGTCTCGAGCGAGACTGAATGGCAGTTCGCGCGAGGAAAATTTCTCCGCCGGGTGCCGCCACCTGGCGGAGAAAGGCGGCGGTACACGGAGTACGAACCGGTCTGCGACGACTATCTCTCGTCCGACCAGGCCCAAACATTTCTCCCTTCCGCCGCCTAAAGTACCAAATGCCAGAACCTGCTGCCTTCTACTGGGTTTCGTTGGAACACCGTGAGGCCCTTTGCAGGGCCTGAAAGGACCCGCTGAATTCTCTTCTCGTCCGATAATAAAGATTAGCAAGTTTATTCCCATAACGTTGCGCGATGCGCGAACAAAAGGCGATGGTTTGCCTTTGAAAGCTTCCACGTTTCTGTAGCGACTAAATTCTATTTGATTCGCGCGGGAAACAAATTATTTATCAACGATCGCAAGGCGATCGATTACATATGAACTGAAGAGGCAAAGTCGTCTGGAGAAATAAAGTCGGATTATCGCCGCCGAATCTAATCTCCGAACTCGATTTTAAGCAGACAGATCGTAGTCGATTGTCGCTTTCTCTCGCGGTCGAATGTTAGTAATTTTCCAACGAGCGGTCGGCATTTACCGCATGACTTAAAGTAGATAAGGCTGCCTCCGCGCGTCTCCGGACAGTTACGACGTATGTTTAAACATCACGCCCGGCAGTCACGTGCATCTCGCTCGCTCGTAAACTTGACTTTGTTATTTCCCGCCGCGCTGCAAAAGCGCAATATCGCTGTAAGAAAAAACACTTAAGATGTTGTCTTATCTTAAATCATCGCCTTCTAACTGTAATAAAGGATGCGCGGAGAGAACAATCACAGACAGATTCGCGCTAATACGTACAGTGCCCTCCATAAGTTTCGAAACACTTTATAAAAGTGTGTAATATGAAGGAAACACATATTTATACCAAACATGTGCACAGGTCGCTGCTGTGCCATTATTTACCCGTAAAATATAGAACGTTTCCAAACTTATGGAGGGTACTGTATCTTAATAGAGACGGAGACTAAAGTCTAATCTACAATGTGCTCTCTGCGTCTAGAAGCATTCTATTTTATACATACAAATAAAAACGTTTAAAAAATTTATGGACAATGCACGATAGTGCAACGTATAATGTAGACTGAAAAAAAGATCTGATTGCATTAATTAGAAGTCTGGTACATTCAGCCAGTCGTCTGGTAGAAAATGGACGAATCGGAATTCCTTTGGGACTTACTAGATGTGTAAAGTCTATACAAACTTCTGGTTATAAGATATCGAGCTTTATCGTGATAACTGGGAATTCTGTTTGGTTTAACCGAAATACGTTCTATCAAAAATCTTGTTGATACAATCGGAGCCTTTTTCTCAGTGTACACGCACCGGCATAAATGCTGTTCCCTATCCTTGTGAGGTGCACGCACACAACTACAGGGACTCTAGTTGTGTGCGTGCACCTCACAAGGATAGGGACAGCATTTATGCCGGTGCGTGTACAATTGGTCGACTAGCGCAAGTTTTTTCAATATATTTCTTGGCTGCGAAACGGAATGTTTTCAGACGCAGGGAGCACATTTTGAAGCGTCAGGAAACACGTACGCGGATATCCCCGGCTTCTTGATCTTCGCGAAAACCGCGAAAGCCTAAATTACCATAATGTCCACCTCTGCGGGCAATGGCATTCCTGGTACAGCAATTTGCGAGGCAGAAGCGGCGCGCAGGACCACGCTGCCACACGCAAAACACGCCGAATGACAAATTGCATAGTACCCTTCTTTCTTTCGTGCTACTCTTAGCGTAATTCGCCCCTTGTAGGCGAATTACGCTCAAAGAAAATACCTTCGCCATTTCAAGTGAGTTTTTACGACTATGGGAATCATCATATTCGCTTTTTAGCGCAGGCATCGTGGAAAGAAAGGGAGGCTAACAGATCGCTGTAGGTTTTTAACCGGACTTAATAATAAAATGTATGGCTGCGCGATGCAGGCATTGAAACTTGACGACTGGGAACTGTTTCTTGCTAATTAATGGCACTAGAAATCATTCATCGATTTAAATATGTGAATTTGCTGATGATAATGGTTCCATCTCAACGAAATTTTTGTTACGTCCGAAAAGAAACCGGCGCGCAAGACAGGTAGAAAAACGGTAGACACATAAAGTCACATGTTAAAATTATTATCAGGCAAACTACATCTTGCTCCGATCTAAAGGCGTTCTCGGTTACCATTTGATTTAACGCTATTTGCTAATAATGTGATTGAAAAGATTCTCTATTGGCATCTCACGTCTCGAGCTCGTGCAATCGCCAAGTGCCAAAGAGAGTTCGCAAATTGCGACGATTTAATATACGCATTAGAATCGTATCTATCCAGTCAGCCATTGAGTTATCTGCGATTATGTAAACGTTCAAACAAACACGTCCCGCGCGATATCGTGCGCGAGTCGTCTGCGTACACGCTAATGAAAGAAGAATTTGACCCCTACCAGGCACAACGGCGCACGCGAAGCTCGCGGCGACGAGTTGGTCTCGGGCAAAAATTTCGCCGCCTTCCTATAATTGCCCTCCTATTTTTTTTTACGCCCCCAGGCGACTAGGCCTAATGATCATTAAGACTACAATGGCCCGAGAGTCGTGGCCCGAAAAATTTAATTATATCAAATCCGTTCTACCTGCGCCAACTAATTCCGCGCATTACGCGTTATTTGGGGTCGCGCCAAAAACTACATTCTCCTGCGGACTCGTTCGGAGATTCGTGCAATGGGCACTCTTTTCGGCGAAAAAATTATCATAATGCGCTCATTAATCTCACGACGAAAGGAACGGCGAGAGTCGCGAGACTGAGGTCGGAGCTTCACCCCCCCCCCCCCGCCCTCTCTCTCTCGGAGAATTTCTTGCTCGCCGCTCATGAATCTGCGCCGGGGCGTTATCTCCGCATTAGGAAATTCCCGACCGCTCGCTCGCCTGCGTTTAACGGACGTCACGCGGCCGGCTGTGTACGTTAATACTCTACGATGAATGATCGTGTCGACGCGAGGCAAAAGTCTCGCGTGGCATGAAATCATTATGGTAGCGATCTTTCATGTGTGTGTGTGTGTGGGTTAATTATCGGACATGAAAAAATAAGGAAGTCGTATCATCGAACTGTTTGCAGTTTTCTCCTTCTTTTCAACCCAAACGAATGAGAACTCTAAATGTTTTCAGACTAACATAAATGAAACGGATAAATATCATTTGTATGTACCGGTTTTATTAACATTTGCCGGTGGCTCCTGCACGAAGGAGCGGTTGGTGTGGGCGCTTTGGTGCACTGAAAAAAATTTCTGGTTGAATATGGACGAATCAGATAATTCCTTTAGGATTTACCAGAATTCCTTTAGGATTTACCAGAATTTCTGTAGGATTACAGGAATTCTGGTAAATCCTAAAGGAATTATCTGATTCGTCCATATTCAACCAGAAATTTTTTTCAGTGTGGGGCCCCCTTTGATTTTTACAAATTCATATGACTTTTTTCATAAAGAAAGATCACCCAATGCATTATTGATCAAATGTATTGATATGCTAGTTTGATGTAAATCATAATAGCAAATGTATATTGTATACGTTTCGGTCCTTATTGGACCATCTTCAGTATAACGAAAAATTAATAAATACAATTAAAACCATACATATATCGATTCGCGAATTAAAAATATACATAGTTTACGCAGTCAGTCATATAAAATTGTAATAAATTAAGAGACGGTAGTACAAAAAAAAACGCGGCGCAAGTAGATGTAGCATCATGAGTCAAAAAGGTAAAAATTAATTTTCACCGGCGAGCGGGTCTGAAATTTCGCGTACCGATAGATGAGATTTGCAACTACAACATACTTTAATTTGAATCTTTTCTACTTTTGGTCGGTTTATGCAGGAGCCACCTTAATAGCGAACAACATTTAGACAACCGACGCTTATTACTGTAAAAGCATCCACTTGCCTCTCGGTAATACACAAGCGCAAAGTATAATAGATTGCAACATTAGAATTTCCAATTCTAATCGCAAAGCTACGCGATTGTTCCCCGAGGAAGAGACAGCTGAATGCGCCCGGGCTTTCGGTCTCATAGTCCGAAACCTGATTCCGTCCGCCTCGTAGGAAACAAGAGCTCAAATCTTCCTCAGAGTGGTCCTCTCTAGGAATTCCCCAATCAGCTGATTCCTAGAAGCTCGCGAGTGCATATTTGCTAGCCGGTCGCTCCGGCTTGGCTCGGCGTACGGTCGCGGTCGCGCGGTTTCAAGGATACAGCAAGGTTGACACGCGCCGCCGCTCACGGGCGACTAGTGAGGGAACTCGCCCGATCTCGTTCGCGCTATCGACACGACTCCGTGTCACGTGTGCGTTGCAGCATCGCCCCGGTGATGCTGCCAAGCTTCAGCGCGGACTTGACGCCCGAATTTCGAATGTGTCGGCTCGAAATCAGCACGACATGCGAGCGCATGACATCATCATCGCGACACGCGTGGTGTCTTTGAGCTGTGCGCATGACATTTCAATCGTTCTCAGAGAAATGTCGTTCTCAATACAAGTACAAAGATATCTATGTTATTAAAATGCTGCGTTATTTAATCGACAAAAAATGGCGACGATTTAAGATTGTTCCATCTTTCGTTTTCAAAGAACTCCAACTCTTTCCGAACCGCTTGGGTTTTCCAATTCCCA